GTTATTTGTGCAGTTGATGGTACCTTGATTCCGATTATAAAGCGATGTGGAGATGAGCAAACCTTTGTATGTAATAAGAATTTCCACAGCTTAAATGTGCAAGACATTTGTGAGGCTAAAATGAAATAATGTAAGTCATGTGCATGTATCCGAGAGAACTTTTCAGTAACTCTCCCATATATAACGCCTAAAGTAAATGGAAGGAATACTGGAATGCTCGTAATTAGCGTGTATTGATCGGCTTATGTTCAAATTATTGTAAAGTTAACATGCATGTAAGACGGAAGATAATGTTCTTTTGCAACAAATATATTTTTCTCGTTTCTGGTAGACCACACTGAGCCTGCTATGTACTTATATCATGAGTTATTATGAATTAAAATAATATATAACTGGACCCAAATCATTCATTTTAAGGTAAATTATGATTAAAAACCCTAAAAGAATGAATTTTGAACCAATATATATGTTTACTGTTGGCGCGCGTTTTATCAGGACATGCATGTTTGTCCAACCACAATTTCTTCGTTTTAAATGGGATTTAGCTCATACAGTGTAAATCTTGTTTATTCTTTATTTTCTACTTACTTAATCCTATATATCTAATTAGCGTTGTTTTTTACAGCACAAGAAGTGGACTAGCAAGAAGGAATAAAAATCTTGATACGAAAATCTCACAAATGTGTCAACCTTTCAGACTTTACTGAATCTGACCCAATCTGACCTGCACAAATCTGGCAGATAAATCATCATACCGAAAAACTGAATGAAAGATCCTAAAAAAAATGCAGGTTTGTGCCAATTCAGTGTGAATTGTAATTAAGATGAAAACATGACGTATGATAAATTTCACAGCAAAAATGCATAACCTAAGACTTTTAACATGCTGGATCTTAAGAAATCACAAATAAATATAAAACCGATTTCAAAAATTCTAAGAAAATGAACTTATTTGTGTGGATCCGATAGAAGGAAATAGCAATATTCAAGGACGCATTTACAGCGTTTCAAAACTGTATGTTTGCTCATTTTGTTCAAACTGGCTATCTTTCTTCGAACACACGAATTTATTCATCACAGCTTAAAACCATTTCTTTCAACTACAAAACTTTTTTGTTAGCGTCCTTGTCAGCTGTATTTGTACGTTTGTTTGAAGTTTGTAGTGAATTGTGTTGTATATAAACTCATCATAGATACCAGGATTGAAATTTTGTACGTCAGACGCTTGATTCGTCTACAAAAGACTCATCAGTGACGCTCGAATCATAAAACAGTTAAAAAGGCCAAATTAAGTACGAGTTTGAAGAGCATTGAGGACACAAAATTCTTAACATTTTGCCACATACAGCTATGGTAATCTATTCCTGAGTGACTGTGATGTTTTGGCGGCTAAATCCCAGTTATTGTCACATTCATCTATCTCATTGAACTTGAAATACAGTTAAGTCTGCCTTATATCTTAACTTACATCTAGAAATTAACAATGAAGGTCGATTGAAAACAAAACTTTACGACAAAAGAGATAATTTCAGCTTCCAATTTGTGAACTTTCCATTTCTATGTAGCAAAATTCCAGCAACGCCTGCATACGGAGTATATAGCTCCCAGTTGATACGATATTCCAGGGCTTGTATTTCCTATCATGATGTCCTTTATAGAGGGTTGCTGCTCACAAGGAAGCTATTGAACAAAGAATTCCAAGTAGTGAAGTTGAAATCTTCCCTTAGTAAATTTTACGGACGCCATCACGTGCTTGACCGTTATGGAATGTCCGTTTTACAGATGTCAACGGATATGTTTCAATTGTCGTAACTACAATCCCATGCCCTTTTTACCGAATGTTACCTACCGAATTAGACTTATCACCGGATTTGTACCAACATGAGCCACACGACGGGTGCCACGTGTCGTGCAAGATCTGCTTACCCTTCCGGAGCACCTAAGATCACCCCCAAGTGTTTGCTTGGGTTCGTGTTGCTTAGTCTTTGGTTTTCTATGTTGTGTTGTGTTGTTTGTCTGTTGATCTTTATCTTTTTAGCTATGGCATTGTCAGTTTATTTTCGACTTGTGAGTTTGAATGTCCTTTTTTACTACATAAGAAATTGCCTGTACCAAGTCAGGAACATGCCAGTTGTTATCCATTCGTTTGATGTGTTTGAGCTTTTGATTTTGCCATTTGATTAGGGACTTTTCTTTTTGAATTTTCCTCGGAGTTCAGTATTTTTGTGATTTTACTTTTTGGTATCTCTTTTGCCTTTTATGTCTGTTTGGGTTGTTTTTTTGATGTAACGGAACTTTAAACAACTGTCTTAAAAGTGGGGGGTTTAGCTATAAAACCAGGTTTAACCTACCATTCTCTACGACAAGTGCTTGTACAAAAACAGGAATATGATAGTTGTTTTCCATCTGTTCTGCCGTTTGATAAAGTCTTTCGTTTAAATTTGTTAGTTATTATGAACTTAAAATGACCGGTGATTATTATTTATATTCTTACTTGTGGAACTTGCAAGCTGCAATATGTTGGCGAAACAGAAACTAAATTCAACATCAGACTTAATAATCACCGGTCATTTTATACCAAAGGAAGAAACTGCCGAATCAAAAGAGACACCTCTTAAGAACAGGACATACTTTTGAAATTATCACTTTGTATATTGACTATATTATATATACAGTGAAAGTAGATTAAGAATGTCTTAGACTTTTTGTTATGCTGAATAACTCGTAGCATGGGATCTAGTTAATATTCTTACATTGTATCGAAAAACCGTATATGTAATTTCGAATTGTATGCATACCAATTTTGCCAGCTTTCACTTTAAAATGTGCCAGGGAATATACAAATACACTATATGAATATAATTCTTCAAAATATGTTATGAGTGTGTTCAATATCGCAAATTAACATGTTTCGTAGAATTTTCGCTCACAGGAAATATAATTCAGTTAAAGTATATAAACAAGTCATAGCTTTCCTTTCGATAATTTTGATTTCAATTAAGAATACCCTTCCTTTTCATTTCACGATAATTAATTAAAATTAACCGAAATCTGACATCAAACATAATTTCGTTGTAGGTCATTTGAAGGCATTTGTGTTTTGATTACATGTTTTGAAATTGAAATACGCCGGAATGTTGCCAGAGATCCGTGTTAGTACGCGCATTCAGCTGTCGTACTGTGAATATCAGTAAGAATTAGATTTTGTTTTAAATAACCATAGCGTCATGTATCCTTCTGTCGTAGGCACATATTTTTTTATGTTTTCCAAACTGTTTTATTATGGTGTTACTCGAAAACGAAAACAAACAAACCATTTTCCCGATTTAGGAACACGTCAATAATCTGAAAATAATGGAATTCTTTTCTCTGCAAATCGACCGTTCGAAACGATTGACATTCACATTTGTAGGATCAAAGAGGAATAACTCTCATAAACGTTACCAGTTCGCGGAAATCGAGACATCACAAACCGTTGACGTCATAGTACTGTTGCGCTTGTATGTGCGCATAAACAATAGAGGGAATTGTCTTTAAGAATGTCACACGTATATTCCTCTTGGAAAGAAAATATTGCATAGCTTCTTCAGAACCACACGATTTGTCTATTCCGCCGATATCAAATCGAACTTTCGTCTACTTTTGCGTGTGACTCCTTCAAGTTCCAAGGATTCTGGGTTACATATTGATCTCGGGAAATGGACAGCTTAAATTGACATAGAGTGTAAATACATGTATCACGGGATTCTAAAATATATAGCAACGCCCATCATTTACTAAAAAAAGGTGGCAATTACAGGTCTTCGGCTAAGTTTGTATTTCTGAACACCCTATTTGTTTAAATTCATCTTGGAGGCCAAATTTCATTTATACAAGTTTGAGTTAACCATGGGACACAGATGATACCCCCGCTTGCATATAACGTTATAAAGGGACATAACTCAAGTTCTTTACATTCTTTACAATTCAACCAGTTAAAGTTTTCATAGTTCCATAAGTTTTACCATTAGTCTTAAATTTGTACGTGATTGCTTGTAACTAACTGGGTTTGGTAGATATTGATCAACCAGGTTTAATCTACCATTTTCTACATAAGGAAATGCCTGTACCTAGTCAGGAATATGTCTGTTGTTTTCCATTCGTTTGATTTGTTTGAGCTTTTGATTTTCCCATTTGATAAGGAACTTTCCGTTTTGAATTTTCCTGGGAGTTCGGTATATTTGTTATTTTACTCTTTACCTACATTTAATTTGAATTTCATTTCTCATGCATTAAAATATGAAGTATTCCACATCGTCGGTGCAAGAAAGTGGAAAAGATACGAGTGGCCTGAGTGCAAACCATTATTATACATAGTTCCATGGCCTTATAGGTTAGATTCTTTCAGATTATATTCCCGTTTAATGCATAAGAAAATGTCTGTATCTAGTCAGAAATATGACAGTTGTTTTCCATTCGTTTAATGTGTTTGAGCTTTTGGTTTTACCATGATAAGGGACTTTCAGTTTAGAATTTTCCTTGGAGTTCGGTATTTTGTAATTTTACTTTTTACCTTTAGTTGTCTTGTCCATTATTAAGAAATAAAGTAAAAAATATCGTTTAAGAAATAGTGTTCTATTAATGGTAAATAACAAACAGTGTCTTTTTCATATCTATTTTATTTTTATTTGAAATCTGTAAATAGATAAATTCCAAGATCACATACATCTAACACGAGGTAAGCATACCTTATTCTTGTCTTCTTGTATTATTCACTGATTTTGATTTTCTATACCGTTCGGCTATCCCTTTAGTCGAAGGAAATATTCATAAAGTAAACAAATTCTTCATCATGTTCATAGCCGGATCAATGAATATTTTCTTCAAAACTTACATGATAGTTAATATGCAAACCATGTACAATGTTGATTTATTATCAGGTGATAGATTACTTGCTTGCAATTTTCGTCTTTTTTTTACCCAAGCTGTCACTTATTATAAATACACACAAAAAACTTCGTTAAAATCATTTTTCAACTGATAAACAAGGAATAGAAATGAAATTACTGGTAGGCCTATGATGACATTTTTAATTTATTTTTTTTGTTAGAATAGTTGCAAACGATTTTATAATCCATTTTTGCATTCCTACTGCTACTACTTATACTATGATAGTTTTGATTAATCTGTCTACTGCTATTAATCATACTGTTGTTGTTTGTATTTGTCTTTCTACTGCTATTTATACAGTTATTAGTTTGTGTTGATCAGTCTACTGATATTACGTATACTGTTGTTGTTTTTTGTTTGTCTGTCTACTGCTATTACTTATACAGTTGTTTTTGTTGATTATTGTCTGACTACTGTTACTACTTAAACTGTTGTAGCTTTTGTTTATTGTCTACTGATACGTTTGTATTTTTTCATTTAAACTGGTACTATTTATACTGTGATAGTTTGTGTTTATTAGTCTACTTCTATGATTATAATGTTGTTGTTTTTGTTTTCATGTCTACTGCTTTTACTTATACTGTTATTGTTTTTGTTTGTCGGTCTACAGCTACTGAAACTGTTGTTGGTTTGTTTGTTAGCAGTCTACTGGTACTACTTATACTGTTGCTGTTTTGTTTGTTTGTCTACTGCTATTACTTCTACTGTTGTTGTTTTTGTTTGTCTGTCTACAACGCTCCTAATAATGTTATAGTCTGTGTTTATCAGTCTATTGCTAATACTTATAATGTTGTTGGTTTGTCTTCTGTTACAACGTATACTGTTACTGTTTTATTTGTTTGTCTACTGTTATTACATTTGATGATGTTTTTGTTTGTCCGTCTACTGCTTCTACGTATAGTGTTGTTGTTTTGTTCGTCTGTTTACTGTAACTACTTATTTTGATATTGTTTTACTTGTCTGTCTACTGTTATTATTTATACTGTTGTTGTTTTTATTAATCTGCCTACTGTAACTACTAATACTGTTGTTTTGTTTGTTTACTGCTGCTGATACTAATTTCGTTTTTAGTTGTCTGTCTACTTTATCTACTTATACTGTGGTTTCGTTTGTCTGTCTACTGCTACTTATACTGTTATCGTTTTGTTTGTCTGTCTACTGCTACTTATACTGTTGTCGTTTTGTTTGTCCGTCTACTGTTACTACTTATACTGCTGTTGTTTTGTTTGTCTGTCTACTGCTACTTATTCTGTTGTTGTCTTAATTTTCCGTCTACTGTTATAACGTATACTATTGTTGCTTTTGTTTATGTGTCTACTACTGATACTTATACTGTTGTTGTTTTTGTTTGTCTGTCTATTACTATTCATAATGTTGTTGTTTTGTTTGTCTGTCTACTGCTACTTGTACTGTTGTCTTTGTTGCTGTCAGTCAAATGTTATTGTTGTTGTTGTATTTTTCTGCTTCTTCTGCTTTTCATTTTATTTCTTTATATGATTATTTCTATTAATTTCTATATATAATTGTCATTTGATATTGGTTCTTGTTTTTGTCCCGTCTCACACATAGATTTTCTTTCTGGAAATTATGGTCATACAACGATAATTGTACAATAACTTGCCATTACATTTTTCCCTGCTACATTGTATATTGACATGAGCAAATTTTGCGTTTTTTTAGGAGTTTGACGCATTTAATTTATAACTTGTTGTTTTCATTTTTTACAGCACTGGGTCGATACCTCTGCTGATGGACTATCAGTCCCCAAGGATATCATCAGCTCTGAAGTCAGTACTTCGGTATTGACATGATTAATAACAAACCTTTCTAAATTTATAAATTTTGAAATTATAAAGGTATCAACTCTCTCAGACAAAGTTGGCCTTAGAAGGATTTGACTATTATTTTATGTCATTTTTGATTATATAGCTCTTCTACTGTTTCGGTTTTCTAGATCCTTGGCTTTCAAATTTTCGGCTTTGAGCGTTCCTGATGGAGGTAAATCCAGAAAAGCACTTCGGACGCATTTGATTTATAACGTGTTGTTTTCATTTTTTATGCGTTATCTTTGCTAGTGTTTTGTTTGTGTCTGCTGCTACTTCTTATACTGTTGTTGTTTTGTTTGTCTGTCTACTGCTACTTATTTTGATGTTGTTTGTCCGTCTTCTGTTAATACTTATACTGTTGTTGTTTTGTTTGTCTGTCTACTGTTACTTATACTGTTGTTTCTGTCCGTCTACTGTTCTTACTTATACTGTTGTTGTTTTGTCTGTCTGTCTACTGTTACTACTTATACTGTTGTTGTTTGTCCTTTTACTGTTATTACTTATTTTGATGTTGTTTTTCTTTGTCTGTCTACTGTTACTATTTATACTGTTGTTGTTTGCCCGTCTACTCTTACTACTTATACTGTTGTTGTTTGTCCGTCTACTGTTTCTACTTATACTGTTGTTGTTTGACCGTCTTTTGTTACTACTTATACTGTTGGTTTTGTTCGTCTACTGTTTCTACTTATACTGTTGTTGTTTGTCCGTCTACTGTTACTACTTATACTGTAGTTTTTTGTCCGTCTACTGTTATTTCTTATACTAATGTTGTGTTGTTTCTCTGTCTACTGTTACTATTTATACTGTTGTTGTTTTATTTGTCTGTAACTGTTACTACTTATATTGTTGTTGATGTATTTGTCTGTCTACTGTTACTACTTATACTATTGTTGAATAATAAAAGTAACATGTTAAACCGCTGTGAAATGTTAAACAATTTAGGAAAAACAATATCCTTGAACAAAAATATCAGCCATTTGTAATTACTTTAAACACAGGTAAATGAAAATAATTTTGTTGTTAGGTATACGTGTACAGTTCAAATAGATAAAGGAAATATTTTTACAAAATAAATAATTTTGATGTTCATAGTACGAAGAAGTGAAAATTTATAGTAATACCAAACACTTATCAAAGCTGGTATATAGACCAGATATAACCCTGAATATCATTAAATAACAAAAAAGCATTACAATTAGTATCAACAGGTCAAATAAACAAGAAAGTACGATTTGAGAGTACTCGCATACTGACAGCTAGTTAAAAGCAAAAAACAATTAATAATAAAAAATCACTACTAATGTTATTATTGTTGCTGTATTTTTCTGCTTCTCCTGTTGTTCATGTTATTTCCATATACGATGATTTTTATTAATTCATTAGTGTCTTTTGTTTTTAGTTCTTTTTCAATGTCCAGGAAATTTTGTTTCTACGATGATACTAGTACATTGTCATTATAATTTCCCACTGCTTCATTGTATTATGACAAATTCTGTGTCTTTTTGTTTCAGATTTCAGCAGTTTTGTGCGCTATCTTTGCTGGTGTAAACTGTATCAACTATAGGAATCCAGCGATCCAGCGTCTGCAACAGACCATGTGCAAGGTATATTTAGAAAATTAACCAACGTGGTCAGATCTCAAAGAACTGGTTTATAACCCCGACTCTTTTGAATGTGCCTGTCCAAAGTCTACACCGGTTATCACAATCAGAAATCCGCGGCGGGATCCGAATCCCCAATGCGTTCAAATGGAATTCATTCGACAAATCATTTAAATATAATAGGTCCACTAAATCAAAATGTGATATTTGTTACTCATACTTCAGTATCAATAACAGGTACGTACTAAATTAATAAAACGTTTTGAAAATTGTCTGATAGCAACATCATACGCTTGATGTAGATATTCATTTAACATTTATTTTGCTGAATGAAATCAAATATAATTTTAAGATCTTATGTATTTATAATTATCAATATTTATAGTATAACTAGTCGAAGAATTCAAAATATAGAAAAAATTTTTAAAGAATGACCGAACAACACATTAATTCACGATTAATTATTAGTGTTGTTCGGTTGCAACTTGAAACTTTGACAATATCAATGTACTTAAAATATGAAGAAACTTTCTTTATAACCATTTATATCATACTTTGATTATTTTTTCTTCAGGGTAAAAGCTGTCGATTTGAACAAGTATGTGAAATCAAGATAGTACAGTGTATAGTCGCACCATGTCCTCCTGTAACCTACTGTGCCCCAAGTAAGTTTTGATTATATTAAATAAATTTAGATACTTCATTTTGGGTGCTTATGAATGAGGGCAGATTTTGTTTAAATACAATCTCCCAATCGAGCACACAACTATATTGTAATTTATTCGAAAGAGGAAACCTTGCACTATAAGAATACGCCTGTCGTAAGGCCCAGCATTTGTAAACTGAGGTCAAAGGTCAATTTAACAATTTGTGAATATTTTAGGATTTTAATTTTGACATTTGTTTTCTATCGTCTAAATACAGACGATACTGTTTTGCTTAAGTAATGTTTTTTTATATACATAAACCTTGTTCATAGATATTTTTTTCTCCAAAAAAAATCATAAAAAGACGTTTAACAAAATTTCGAGACTCCAGTTTTCAACCAATAAAATGTTAATATCGACTTGACCATATTAATTATTTTAAATTTCACGTGAAAATCAAGTGTCAAAAAAGACAATGCTTCAAATTTTTTATTTTTAAACTAGCATAGTGATTGATGTATCAAGCCAGAAGCAAAACTACACTACGGTCAATTATGAACTCACATTTAATTCGCTGATACTTTTGTTTTTTAAAGACTCGTTGCTTTTATTTTTTTCATCGATTATTGATGCTTCCATAGCATCGTCTACTGTTGAGTAGTTTACTCTGGTTAATTTCTACTGCAAGATCGGTTTTACTCCTATAACCCTTTTTTCCTTGCAACCTACTACAGACTTCAAAAGGTACTTAATCTTGATCTCCAGCATCTTTATGTCCGTCAACCATCACAAGACGTGTATTGATGTTTCCACACATTTCACTTGCCGGGCATGAACACAGGTCTGTATATGAAAGGTTCTGCTCAAAGCAAACATATTCTTTTGAGCACACAGATTTTCCTTTTCAAGTACAGACAAGTTCTGGTAGGAAGTCCGAAGACATTTGACTTTCGAAAAATACCGGCTTCATACCATCCTTATCAGTTCATGCAAACTTTAATCGAGATCTAAGAGGTGGTTTAGGCAGGTGTGATGTCATTCATATACTTGACTGCAAAATCTGCTTGAAGCAAATGGTGTCTAAACGTTGGTTCACACAATGGGTAAGCTTGGTCAGAGATGTATCTTTAGTAGTTGCAAGATTCGTCAAATTACAGTTTTCCAGGCTTACTAAATCAGACACATCACTACAGGCCTGTTTCAGGACTTTGAAAACCGATTTTTTACCAATGCAAACATTGCCGATGTGGAATAACATCCTGAAATTGCATGTACGGCAGGCAAGCATTGAATGATGATGGAATTCAAAGAATTGAATAGTTCATGTATACGTATAAAATGTCTTGGATCCTTGGTGCTTGTTACAGTTCCAGTTATAAACCAAATTTTGCTGTGTTTTTTAGGGAAGAAAAATAGTGAACATAAAGAACTAAAACGTCCGTGTCAGGGGATTTCACTTCATTTACAGCCAAAACTTACAAAATGTCTATCGGTATGCATAGCGTGTAAATCATACGCATATCAGCTTTCTCATAGGTACTGTGAAGCCCAATGCAGTCAATGACAGTTTTAGCAAAAATACGTTTTACGATTTGAGGATCAGAAAAAGTTCCAGCTAAAGTTAATTCACTTTTATTTGCTAGTGCAGTAGGTTTGTTTTGGTGGTAACAAACAATGAAATTTCACGAAACTGGAGCAGTGCTTGCTTATTTTCGTTTGAAGACTTTTTTATGAAGTTTGATCTTCGGTCCTATTCGGCAGACTTGATAGAAAGTTTAACATCATATATGTCAAATACATCAACAACAGAGGTAGCCCTTGAAAAACAGCTAAGCTGAAATTGGACGAACTCTATCCCCAGGTCACCAAATGCTTTCAAATTTTTTAGCATTATACACTAGATACGAGACCATCAAAACGGTAATTTATTTATTGAACCCGGGAGAAGAGTGATTATACGATGTTTCGTTCTCAAGTTGATGACAAAGATCGGCTCTACATGATTTTTTTCAAAAATGGCTGTAGGGATCGGACCAATCGAAAATGACAAAATCTTTCAACAGTAACGTCATATAGACTAATCGCATACACCTAACACACAAAATCTGATCTAACTGGTTTTTTTTATAGATGGGACTTTAAAAAGACGTCATACATTACTTAATTAATTTCTTATAAGATATGTTCTCATTTCTATGCCATGTACTTTTCAACTGATTTTTATAGTTTGTTCTTATGTTGTACTGTCACACCACTGTCCCAGGTTAGGCGCCAGCAAACATGTATAAACCCGCCACATTTTGTATGTGATTGTCCCAAGTCAGGAGCCTGTAATTCAGTGGTTGTCATTTGTTACTGTATATCATATGTGTTTCTCATTTATTGTTTCGTACATAAATCAGGCCGTTAGTTTTCTCTTTGATTTTTTTAACATTTGTCATTTCCAGGCCTTTTACAGCTTACTGCGCTGCACGGATTCTGCTCATTCGTGAAGGCCGTACGGTGACACATAGTTCTTAACTTTTACGTCATTTAGAATCTGGTGAGAGTTGTCTCATTGGCAATCATAACACATCTTATTTTTATATACCAGGTTTCGACTAAAAACCGTACCTGACAAAGTGTCGACAATTCAATCTAGTTTATTACACCATATCAATATTATTAACCAGATCCTTCGACTGAATTAAAAATAAATTTCTTTATTAGTATCAAATCCAAACAAAAGGATTGTTACTAGATACACATGTAAGACCAATAAACGATAAAAAATACAAATAAGTAATATTGAGAAAAATTTTAAAAAAACCTTTATTTTCTTTTCTTTTCTGCAATTATAGACATCATACCTCTCCACAAATTAGCATAACAATTATTCAAAAATTTAGAAAGAAGAAATTCATCTTACCTCTATTAAATATTCATTCATAATGGTTTACTTTTACAAATTGTGACTTGAATGGAGAGTTGTCTCATTGGCACGCATACCACATCTTCTTATATCTATATATTAGGTTATTCAAAATAAATAGTATCCATATTAAACCACACATGTAAAATACACTGCTCATGCACAGCTTTTGATATTGTTTCTTTGATTTTACATTTCACTTATGCCATTAACAATAATCATCAGTATGTTATAAACTTAACAAAAAAATATAAAATCTTTTTTTTTCAGTACTCATTAAAATAAAACTCGAAACAATATTGGAAATTTCAATAAACATTTTCACTCTAGAGTTTTTCAGTTGTGCACACGTCATTACGAAATAGAATTCTTCTTCCTCCACCTCTATATTTCCGGTGATATGACATAGAGGGCACAATCTATTTTCAACGCTCTTTTACTATCTACCGCGTTAAAAGTGATGTTAATTATTCTTATTTTGGCATAGTTTTTTTCAATCAATTTTTTATCTAAATCAACAAAAGATATTTTTCAAGTTCTTACTTTACTTGAAATATTTTATCTATAAATTCTTAACTTATTTCCATTAATAGAATTCTCATCATTAAAAAGACATTTGTTCAAAATGTATTGTAATGTTCATTTAGCTTTCTTGTTGATTGATTGTTAGTTGCTTAACGTCCAGTGGCAAATATTGCATGCTTGTTTAGGACGATAGCTTCTTTTATTAAGCAAAAGTAATTGTATTAAAAGCACCAACCATTCATCTGACGTATGTGTGTATTGGGAGGGGACATGGACTTGATGATAGAAAAAAATATTTCGGTAGATAAATGAAAAGAATAGTTTGTTTCCATTGCTAATAAGGGAAAAAATAAATAAGACAATGACTTTGATAGATAAGCCTTGCTCCTGAATTTTGTTCTATAAAGAATAGTTGTATTTGTATAAAGTCCGACAATGTGTTTGTTGCGAGCAACCCTCCCCTTTCCACACACAGAAATTTATACTATAGTGTTCAGTTCTTAACAAGTCGTTTTTTTTTAATTTCCAGCATGGGGATCTTTATACAAGGGTGGTGCTTGTCCAGCAGCAGACGACAGCAGTGTCGAAACAGTTCAGTGCTTTGGAGATTTCGGATGTGGTATAAATAACAACGATGTTTGCTGCCATAATCGTAATACGAAAAGCTCTTACTGTCACAAATCTTAACTGTAAATAAATATAAACATCTTGCTATTGCTCAGTGTTGAAGGCCAAACAATAACCTATAGTTGCTAACATCTACGTCATATTGTTTCAGTTGGATAGTTGTCTCATTGAGAATAATACCACATCTCTTTGTTTTATAATCAAGTCAAATAGTTTTACTGCATTACTTCTATTTTTTCCATTTATCCACAAATATTTTGGAAATGTTATATGAATTTCACACCTTAAGAGTAAGGCTTGATCAGCTAAATAAAATGCTCATGGAACTAAACATGTAAGGAATCGTCCCTTTACTTTCTCCCATATATTATATTCAATAAATCCTACTAGTAACAAAGTTATAACTATCTTGTTCTTGACGTCCACAATAGAAAATTATCTTCAAACTGTGGACGATCACTTTGCAAAGTTCAAACAATGTAAAATAATGTTTTACTTCAGCAGCAGTATCCAACCAACTGTTCTTCAAATTATGTGCCGTTTTCAATTTTCTTATTTAAGGCAGTGGTCATCCTGTTGGTAGCATAACATGTTGAGTCATTCGAAACACAAAGTCGTTTCTACCCAATGTATAGATTAACGTATCAGTATTTGACACAAAGTATCGGAAATTTTTGCATTTCATGCTCTACAACTTCGTATTTTGTTTGTCTTACCAACTATTTAATTCGACACCTCAGATGAATATTTTGTAGACGAAATGTCGTACAAAATTATAACACATTGATAAGTTTTTACTAAGAAGTGGTCGATATAATTCGAAAGACCACCTTCGTAAGCTTGGGACGTATTTACAGGTCCTTTACACAGTAATTCCATATTTACTGAACAAAGGTTGTAAGTTGACAAGAAAAGTTTTATAAAATCTACTTCTATCATCATTTTTAGCTCACCGTCCGAAGGAACTGTGAACTTTAGCCATCACTTGGCGTCCGTCGTCGTCCGTCGTCGTCCGTCGTCGTCGTCGTCGTCCGTCTGGTGTAAACTATTTCAAACATCTTCTCCTCTGAAACTACTAAACCAATTCCAACCAAACTTAAGCTTTCGTCAAAAAACATGGCCGCCATGGCTAAAAATAGAACATACGGGTAAAATGCAGTTTTTGGCTTATATCTCAAAAACCAAAGCAGTTAGAGCAAATCTGACATGGGTTTAAGTGTTCATAAGGTAAATTTCCATCAGCCCTGAAATTTTCAGATGAATCTAATAACCCATTGTTGGGTTGCTGCCACTAAATTGGTAATTTTAAGGAAATTTTGCAGTTTTTGGTTATAATCTTGAATAGTATTAATGATAAAGATAAACAGTAAACAGCAAATATGTTCAGCAAAAAAAGATCTACCAATAAGTTTAATATGACCAAAATTGTCAATTGACCCCTTATAGAGTTATTGCCTTTTAAGGACAATTTTAAACAATTTGTTTATCATGTTTTCTAACTTTAAAAAATCTTCTCCTCTGAAACCACTGAACCAATTCCAACCAAACTTAAGCTGAATGATTCTTAGGGTATCTAGAATAAAGTTTGTGTTTTATTTTTTGTTTCGTCAAAAAACATGGCCACCATGGCTAAAAATAGAACATAGGGTAAAATGCAGTTTTTGGCTTATATCTTAAATAAACAAAGGAGTTAGAACAAATCTGACAAGGGGTAAAAGTGTTCATTAGGTGAAGTTCTATCAGCCCTGAAATATTCAGATGAATCTAATAACCCATTGTTGGGTTGCTGCCACTAAATTGGTAATTAAAAGGAAATTTTGCTGTTTTTGGTTATTATCTTGAATAGTATTAATGATAAAGATAAACAGTAAACAGCAAATATGTTCAGCAAAAAAAGATCTACCAATAAGTTTAATATGACCAAAATTGTCAATTGACCCCTTATAGAGTTATTGCCTTTTAAGGACAATTTTAAACAATTTGTTTATCATGTTTTCTAACTTTAAAAAATCTTCTCCTCTGAAACCACTGAACCAATTCCAACCAAACTTAAGCTGAATGATTCTTAGGGTATCTAGAATAAAGTTTGTGTTTTATTTTCTGTTTCGTCAAAAAACATGGCCACCATGGCTAAAAATAGAACATAGGGTAAAATGCAGTTTTTGGCTTATATCTTAAATAAACAAAGGAGTTAGAACAAATCTGACAAGGGGTAAAAGTGTTCATTAGGTGAAGTTCTATCAGCCCTGAAATATTCAGATGAATCTAATAACCCATTGTTGGGTTGCTGCCACTAAATTGGTAATTTTAAGGAAATTTTGCTGTTTTTGGTTATTATCTTGAATAGTATTAATGATAAAGATAAACTGTAAACAGCAAATATGTTCAGCAAAGTAAGATCTACAAATAAGTTAAAATGACCAAAATTGTCAAATGTGTCCTTAAGGAGTTATTGCCCTTTAAAGACAATTTTTCACAATTTGTTCATCTAGTTTGCCTACTTTGAAAAATCTTCTCCTTTGAAACTGATGAATTAATTTCAGCCAAACTTGGGCTGAATGAGTTTCAGAGTATCTAGTATAAATTTTGTATTTTATTTTCTTGTACGTCAAGAAACATAGCCACTATGTCTAAAATGGAACATAGGGGTAAAATGTATTTCTTTGCTTTTGACGAAAATATGACAGATACAAAGAACATCTCAATGGAATTTTTAAGCCACTCATTAATATATATTAAAAAGCAAAAATAATCATTGATGAAAGATTTAAGCAAAAAATTACAGGTGAGCGATTCGGGCTCTTGAGAGCCTCTTCTTAATTTGAAATCTCGATCCATCGATTTTCGAATTGAAATGCCCCGTTTAAATCACAGAACCAAATGTTCATCGATAAACAACAATTCAAACATCGTATCCTCTTCGTCATGGAAATACTCGTAAGGTCGAGTTCCTGCAGGTCTAGTAAGTATAAAGAGGACATAAGACATTTTCACTCTTCGGTAAACTAACTCAAATTCCGAAAATTCTATAGCTGTTGACTACAGATGTAAACAGTTCAATGGCCTTTGCGATGAGAAATGAGATTCTTTGCATCGTTGTCAATAAGGCACACATAGCTACCATGATTACATTACAAATCCCAAGACACTCAGCTAAGTAGGATACATACGAATAAAACAACTTTACAGTTTCAATCCAGTAAGTTAAGGTATGCATTACAAGCTGCCAACTGGAAGGTTTTATAAAATGCTCACCGTTTTGACGGTTTATTGAAATATCTTAAGAATGTCAAAAGTATATTCCGCTTGGAAAGAAAATATCGCATAGCTTCTTCAGAACCACAAGATTTATCGATTCCGCCGATATCAAATTAACAAACATGCAGACTTTTGGGTGTGAATCCTTTGATTTCCAAGCTTTTTTAGTTGCAAACTGATCTCAGGAAATGGACATTTTCAATTGACAAAGAGTGTAGTTTATCGCGGTGTGAAATACATTAATACTTCTCAAAGCCAAAAAAGTCCTTGAAAGGCGGTAATTCAATATCTTCGGGTTAGTTTGACTCTGATCATGACAATTGTTTAAAATGAGACCAAATGTCAATAATACAAGTTTGAGTTAACCATACATAATGAAATTCCAAAATCATTTAATATATATTGTACACACTTCAACCAATTAAAATCAAGTTTTACTGTATATTAATGTGTAGGTTATTGCTCGTCATATTCTGGGTTTGCTAAATATTAGCTTTGCTCAAAAAGGATATTACACAGACTTTAATATATAACTCTTAGTAAATAGAGCAACATCCTAGTTCTCAATATATTACACAATTTGGGGTCGACGATTTTGGATGGAGAAAAATTGTCGTTGCCTTTTCTAGTTTTTTTTTCTAATTTTTAATTATTGGTAAAAACAAAATGTGTCTTTTTCATATCTATCAAGACACTGGACGTTTAACAAGCAACAGCCAATCTATCAATCATATCTATTTCATTCTTAATTTCGGATTGAAAATAAATAAATTACTGACGAGATAGTATCAGTCATTTCTAATAGCAAACTAAGGTACATCTAACATTTTGTTGGCATACATAATTCTTGTGTTATTATATATATTTCACCGATTCTTTTTTAATTACAATCCGACAATCCTTTTGGCCGAAGGCGATATTCATAGAATAAACAAATTTTTCATCGTGTTCATAACCGGATCAATAGATATTTACTTCAAAAGTTACTTTATAGTTGATATGCAAACCATGTACAATGTTGCATAATTGATTTATATGTTTTACTCTTTTTTTCAAGCTGTCACCTATCATAGCTGGTGTTTACAAGGAAGAGAAATGAAACTACTGATAGGCCTATAATAACATTATTATTGTTTATATGTGTGTGGTTATTGTTGTTAATATACTAATATAATACACTGATATAACAAAACGTTTCGCAATCCTCATGTTTATGTTTTTGTTTGTCCTTCTTCAATGAAAAATGTTTGTTTACACAACCATTGCATGAGCCCATCAGTTGCCAAATATCCAGCTATACAAGGCATATTAGCTCTGAATAGCAAGTGGTTAAGACAAGTTAGGTCAGTACGTGTACTTCTTGGATAAACTACGACATCTATTTCCATCCAATTTTTGCACGCTATACGTGTGATAATTTATCAAAAATGAATTATTTTGTTATGAGTTGGCTCCTTTTTGAAGGATGTGTGGTGACTATAGTTTCTAACATCTACGTCATGTGGTCTCTGATAAATAGCTGTCTCTACCAATCATACCACATCCTCTAATTCTATAACCATAACTTTTACATCTTAAATATCAATTTTAGTAAATTTCAGTGTATTTTCTGCTCTATTTTTGAATAACTGTTGAACTGTTCACCACAGAGAAGCAACATTAGCCCATTATAACCAACTAAAGACTGTCAAGTATCGACACGGGCATTCGTATGGCTACCAAATTTAAAGATTTGATATACATTACTTTGTTTTAAATTTATTGTTGAAATCCATGAATCAACAAATTCCTTTTTTAATAGGCCTGGTGGGTTGCAGCTGGAGGGTAACATAAAGTTATATTTAGAGAACACACAATACTTTTGTTTTTATTATAGAATATATTTTTTGCACACTAAAGTTCAAAATATTTAACAATTTACTTTTTTCCACATCGTCGGTGTAAGAAAGTTTTAAAGAAACGGGTGCAAACCACAGTTTGATGACCATATGAAAGGTATCCCATATTCATTGTACGCATTAAGTCTATCGTTAACGCTCCTTGTGGCATTGGCTACTTATGGAACATTTGACTACGATTACGTTCACTGCCACGGGACCACCTTTGAGCACATGTTGATTTTTTCACGTCATAGAGTTATCTTACTGTGTCGTTACATTTTCTATAAGTTTTTTTTTTTTTTTTCAAAAATTTCACCAACAACAACCAATCAATCAATCATATTCATTGAAACTATATGAATTACTGACGAGATTGTATCAGTCATTTCTAAGAGCGCCTGAGATCACCCCCAGTTTTTGGGTAGGTTTGTGTTGCTCGGTCTTCAGTTTTCTATGTTGTGTTTTATGTACTGTTGTTTGTCTGTTTGTCTTTTTTTTTAAGCCATGGTGTTGTCAGTTTATTTTCGACTTGTGAGTTTGAATGTCCCTTTGGTATCTTTCGCCTCTCTTCTAAGAGTAATAGTACATCTAACATTTTGTTGGCATACATAATTATTGTCTTATCTTATATATTTCACCGATTATTTTTTTAATTACAATCCAACAATCCTCTCGGCCCAAGGCAATATTCATAGAATAAACAAATTCTTCTTCCTGTTCATAGCCGGATCAATACATATTTACTTCAAAAGTAACAGTACAGTTAATATCCAAACCATGTACAATGTTGCATAATTGATTTATAATCAGGTGATTAATTACTTACCTATATTGTTTTTACGTCTTTTTTTCAAGCTGTCGCCTATTATAAAACTAACCAAAACTTCGTAAAGGTCATTTTTCAACTGACGTATACAAGGAACAGAAATGAAAATACTGGTAGGCCTATAATGACATTATCATTATCAGAATTTTTTTTTTTTTGGTAGTTGATACTTATCGGTTTTAATAATACAACTGTTGTTTTTCATTATGTTTCAACTGCTTCTAATTATGCTTCTGTAGTTTTTATTTGCCTTTCTATCGCTACTTCTAATACTGTTGTAGTTTTTATTTGTCTTCCTATAGCTACTTCTAATACTGTTGTAGTTTTTATTTGTCTTCCTATTGCTACTCTTATATTGTTGTAGTTTTATTTGTCTTCCTATTGCTACTCTTATATTGTTGTAGTTTTATTTGTCTTCCTATTGCTACTCTTATATTGTTGTAGCTTTATTTGTCTTCCTATTGCTACTCTTATACTGTTATAGTTTTATTTGTCTTTCTGTCGCTACTTCTAATACTGTGGTAGTTTCATTTGTCTTTCTACCGCTACTTCTTATACTGTTGCAGTTTTATTTGTCTTCCTATCGCTACTTTTATACTGTTGTAGTTTTTTATTTGTCTTTCTATCGCTACTTCTTAAACTGTTGTAGTTTTTATTTGTCTTTCTATCGCTACTTCGTATATTGTTGTAGTTTTTATTTGTCTTTCTATCGCTACTTCTAATACTGTTGTAGTTTTTATTTGTCTTTCTATCGGTACTTCTAAAACTGTTGCAGTTTTTATTTGTCTTTCTATATCCCTACTGCTCATACTGTTGTAGTTTTTATTTGTCTTTCTATCGATACTTCTTATATTGTTGTATTTTTTTTCTTTCTTTCTATCGCTACTTATTAACAAAATATGCGCCTTTTTGTTTCAGATATTAGCAGTTATATTCGTTATCTTAGCTGGTGTAAACTGTAGCAATTACAGAAATCCGTACATCGAGAATCTTCAACAGACCATGTGCAGGGTATAATTTTAAAAAAATTTTAAAGCCTACGAACAATTTACCAACGTGGTCAGATTTTAAATTACCAATTTTATAAAGTTCACAAAATTTATGGAAATTTGAAAAAAGAGGCACGATATATCAAAGGGACATTCAAAACTCATAGTTCGAAAAGAAGCTGACAACGCCATGGCAAAAAAAAAACCCGTGCAAAATGAAATACGAGGAAGAGACAAATTAGTCTACAAAACATTACGTAAAAAACTAAAGACCGAGCATCATAAACTCCACCAAAAACCGAGGGTGATCTCAGATGCTCCGGAAGGGTAAGCAGATCCTGCTCCTCGTGTGGTATCCGTCAAGTTGCTCGTGGAATTATAAATTCGGTTAAAAGTCTCATTTGGTGATATCCCATTCGAGAAAAACAGGACGGGATTGAGTTATGATAATTGGAACATATCAGTGGTCCAGTTATACACTGATATTCAATCACGGTCAACCAACTCTTCATTACGTTCGTAAATCGTTCGAAAGGATGACCTATTAATATTTACAATTTGGAACCCTTGGTTCAATAGCGTCCTTTGTAAGCAGCAACCATGTACCAAGAAAATCATGACGGGAAACGCAAGCTCTAGAATTATCTTGGAGGTATATAGGTCATATTCATGCGCAACTGAAATGTATTTTTATAAACCGAAAGATTCAATTGGCTTAAGCAACATTATGACGATATCGATGGATTTGCAATATGAAGGAGCTTTCCCTTATAACCATTTATATTATTATTTGTTTTTGTTACTTCAGAATAAACGCTGTGGATTTGAACAAGTATGTGAAATCAGGCTAGTGCAGTGTTATAAAAAACCATGTCGTTATGAAACCTACTGTTCCCCAAGTAAGTATTAAGTGTCTGAATAAAAAATACTTTATTTTGGGTGCGGTTCGCTACACTGATCTCAAATCTCAAATTAATTTCTTAGACGTTTAAAAAACTGGCTCTCACAACTGAGTTACAAAAATTGACGGGCTTGAGATAGTATAGTACGCTAAATTCAGAATAGCTGGATCAACAGTCGAACGTAACCTTTCGTAACCTGACTTAGTACCATGCAAGCAGAAGAAACCAACAAAGAACTTCTATTTTGACACACAAGTTGTCACTGCTAACCCTCCTTTTTACTTTCAGTGAAAATTTTGTTCTTACCACTTCAACTCTAAGCATGTTGCCGACGGCAAATGAAGGTGTTATCTCCCCATTGAGTTTTATCGTCTCATTATTTTCCTGAAAAACTTACTCCGTACGAAACATGACGTCTGATAAATTTACCAAGTACGATATGTCGTTGTTTAACTTACCTAGTACGAAATGTGTCGTTTAATTGATATGAAATTATATCCGGTACACAAAGACAATTAGATATCATTCAAGGTTGCAAACAATTATCCCCCACTCCTTTTATGTGGTGAAGTATACTATGTAGTACTGGTGTTGAATAAGTAACAATTTGAAAGTTATTGTATAATCGGCAGATATTCGATTTTTTTTCCATTCGATAGAAAGTGGATAGTTGAGAAGTATGACAAAGTAAACAAAACATCTCTCATGTAAAATGAGACACTGTAGCTATCATTTGTCTTGTAGTGGCGACTGTAAAACGTTTCAGTTGTTTTTTTTTAGTTAAAAAGTACACCTCTTTCAGTGAAGTAGTATCAACTGAAAAATGGAAACAAATTGAATTTGAAAAATATATTATTACTGTTAGGATGACGTACAAATATACAAAATCTAATTTACTGCTTTTTTTTATAGATGGACCTTAAAAAGGGGGTAATGCAATACTTAATTTCTTTGAAATTCTTATAAAACATGTTCACATTTCTGTACCATGCATACCAGGGTTGGGCTACAATCCGTTCATGACAAAATTTCGACAATTCAATCCAGTTTATCATGTTTATTTTGCAATAACAATATTATTAACAAGATGTTCGTAAACTATGTTTCGGTTGCATTAAGCACCAACCTTGCATCACAAATAGTGAGAACAAAACTTTTATCCATTGCAAGTTACAGGTAAAGAATAAGACATTGAGTTGAAAATAATAAGTCTTGTTCCTGAATAGTATTTAAAAAAAGTTCATTTTTAGAATAAAGTCCAAAAATGTGTTTGTTGCGAGCAATCCCACCTCCTTTCCACACTCACAAAAGAGAAATGGTCGGTGCCTAACGTTGTTTCTTTTGATCGTAAAATTACATAACCATACAAATATTTAAGGAGTTCATTTGTTAACACTGTCTTTTTTATGTTTGCAGCATGGGGATCTTTGTATAAGGGTGGTGCCTGTCCAGCAGCAGACGACAGCAGTGTCAGTACCATTCGGTGCTTTGGAGATTTCGGATGTGGTATAAGTAACAACGATGTTTGTTGTCATAATCGTAATACGAAAACCTCTTACTGCCACACACCTTAGATATAATTAATAATAAAATCATATACATTATATATAGACTTTTATAGCTTACTATTGCTCAGAATCTGTGTCCTCGGTCATAAAACTTTACTCAGTACTCGGAATACAAAATTTGTGCTCGAAACACAAAATCCAATAATTTGATTGGTTGATTTCAGAGTCTGAGTACAATAATCGTGCTCGAAAGTTTTATGAGTGCAAGGCCTGTATAGTCATCAATATGTATGTTAAATTATGTCAAACAGTTTTTACTGCATTATTACATATTTTTCCATTTATCCACAAATATATAGGAAATATTATCTGAATATCATACCAAAAGAGTAAGGCCCAATCAGCTAAATCAAATGCTGATGGAACTAACCATGTAAGGAATCGTCTGTTTTTGTTTCCTCCATATATAATAATCAGTCTTATTCTTGACTTCCATAATAGGAGATTCATCTTCAAACTATGTACGATCACTTTCCACAGTTTGAATAATGTATCCTATTTTTTTACTTAAGCGGCAGTATCCAACCAACTGCTACCTTAGCTGTCTTTAGTAGCACATTTGAACACGGCTTTTCAAATTATGTGCCGCTTGTGATTTTCTTATTAAAGGTAATGGTCATCCTGTTGGTAGCAGCACTGTGCAGATTTAAAGACATAGAATGTATGGTCTGTACAGGGAAAAGGAAAAAAGAAAAAAAAATGGTGGGGGTTTTGGTGGAGGAATCGTGTTCGGCGCAAGTAAATTGTCACAAATTTTACCCCCTCCTCCCCCCATATTTTTTGCCTGTTCCGAGTCAGCCTTTCTGGACCGTGTGTTCTTTTTTTGTTTTTTGTTGTATGTCTGTAAATTATCAGGAGGAGTTGAGCGTTGGTGGTTAATATGGTCTGTTGTACTGTCCAGTATTTTTGGTGATTCCTGTAATCCTTTTACACATTGTTGTCAATATAATGGAATTCTATATGAATGTCATACAAGTGTGAGGTTTAGCTAGCTACAAAACCAGATTTAATCCACCATTTTCTACATAAGTAAATGCCTGTACCAAGTCAGGAATATGACAGTTGTTTTCCATTCGTTTGATGTGTTTGAACTACGTGTTTCAAAAAGGATAGACGGAGTGAGTTGTTGCTTGACCTGCTCTCGTCTATGGCGATTTAGGTGAGAATAAAACAGTTCACATATCTAAAACACGTTCCTAAAAACACACACAGACAGACTTCAACTATGTATCAAGTAACTAGCAAAACCATACGATAAACCAGGTTATATTGAAAAAAAGAAACAAGAAAAAATACATTTTGAAAAAAAGAAGGAAATTGGTTAGATGTACACATTCAAGAAGGAATAGTTTTCTTTGCTACTCTTAATAATGACAATTGAAGGAATGTCTGCATGCCATGTTCATCTAAAGCCAGACTTTAAAGCAAGACAAAAAACAGTCCTGACCGTCGAAATAACCAACAGTCCCTGACTTTCAATGATAATTGGTCATTTTACTTTCAAGGAACATGTGCGTGAGTCATCAATAATTTGAATTTTAATATTTTGAAGTCTTCCGTCAATTTCCAAAATATTAGCCTAACAAAGGAGTTTGGAATATAAAAACTACAAACAAACAATAAAAAAATTAATACGTATGATAACGGTCTCAATGGATACCACATGAATTTTGGGAATAAACTTTACCAAAAAGCTCTAGGCGTAATGTATTGTAAATCATGTACATTTAATTTTAAAAGACTTTTCGGACATAATGTAGAGGGTCCAAATATGTTCATTTAACTTGCAGACTTTGATAGCCATTGAACCATGAAAATGAGAGCACGGTCAAATGATTCCTACAGACATGTGCACCTTACAAACATTGCATACACCAAAATAGTTAACACCTTGCTTACAATATCTGAGAAACGGACCTTATCACGTATCTTTAACCTTGATCACTGATCCATGAAATGAGGTTGAGGTCAGGTGAACCCTGTCTGGCGGATATGTTGACATTGCAAAGAACCCATATACCAAATATAGTAATCATATTACCCATAAATAGTGAGAAATTCACATTTAATAAATCGAAACATCTTTTTCTAAGCAGACGCTGAACCATGCATGAAAATGAGGTCAAGGACAATGGCCAAATAACAGACGGAAACTTCGTAACATAAGGCATCTGTATACAAGGTATGAGGAATTAAGAATCTGAAATGGAGAGCATTTTACAAATGGTTTACGCCGCCGCCGCCGGATAGTAATCCATGTCTCGCATACTGCGAAATAAGCGACTAACGTCGCAGCCAAGACAAACATTGGTATTTGCTCCTCCGTTAATCACGCAGCATTGAAGAGTAAGTGCACAGATTTGTCGTCTCGTGACATATTTTTTTACAAACTACTACCTTGTGAACCAGCACATTAAAAATCTGACTCAGCGTGTCAGTATTGTGCAAATCTAAATCAGAGTTCATATTCTTATTACATTAAAATGTTCCGCCATCCTAATATTTATGTGATATTTGCAACAACCTACTGATCAAGATTAAAAAAGTGGAGATTGAGATCTCAAAAGATATATATATATATATTAGACCCCTCTACCGAGAAATTTGTTTTGCATGCACACGTATAAAAATTGCGATTTTTATCCAACGCAATCAAAATTCAAGAGTCTATCCTAAATTGAGGTAAATTATATGGCCTTCCAAATACCGTTTCGATTCCTAACATCACTGAAGAGACATTAATTGTCGAAATCCGGATATGGTGTTCTAATTTTTGCACCTTTTGTTTGCGGTATACCATCTTTTCCCCAAGTTTATTGTTTTCTGTTTGGTATTAAATTAATAATTAAGATCCATTTTGTTACATCTGGTGATCCGTTTATTTTGCAATCGCCAATGGCAGTCAGCAGGGTTTAAGAACATCCGTTGTTCGACCTGCTAGTCAAATGCGTTTTATTAAAATATACTTTTTTCGCTTTTTTGGACTTTTGGAAAATGTTGTTTGTGCTGTATTTAGACCCCTCTACCAAGAAATTTGTTTTGCATGCACACGTATAAAAATTGCGGTTTTTATCCAACGCAATCATAGGTTTGAACGTTGTTTTCAATTTAGACTTGTTTATATTTTTTCGTTTGGGCTTGTATTATATTTGCCTTTGGGTTTATAGGATCCGTTCATCCTATTTTGACTCTTTCAAAATTCAAGAGTCTATCCTAAATTGAGGTAAATTATATGGCCTTCCAAATACCGTTTCAATTCCTAACATCACTGAAGAGACGTTAATTGTCGAAATCCGGATATGGTGTACAAATTTTTGTACCTAATGTTTGCGGTATACCATCTTTTCCGCAAGTTTATTGTTTTCTGTTTGGTGATAAATTAATAATAAGATCTATTTTGTTACATCTTGTTATCCGTTTATTTGGCAATCGCCAATGGCAGTCAGCAAGGTTTAAGAACATCAGTTGTTCGACCTGCTGGTCAAATGCGTTTTGTTAAAATATACTTTTTCACTCATTTGGTCTTTTGGAAAATGTTGTTTGTGCTGTATTTAGACCCCTCTACCAAGAAATTTGTTTTGCATGCACACGTATAAAAATTGCGGTTTTTATCCATCGCGAATCATAGGTTTGAACGTTGTTTTCAATTTAGACTTGTTTATATATATATATATATATATATATATATATATATATATATATATATATATATATATATATACAACTCGTCTAAACATCAGCCCAACAATGTTAGATCTGTAAATTTTTTGTTCTTCCCTCGCCGGGATTCGAACTCATGCTACTGAGATATCGTGACACCAAATCGCCTGCACTCTATCCGACGCGCTAGACCACACAACCACCTAGGCTTCACAAAAAATAAAGCTTTCGGTGGCCGGGTGTTATATATATATATAATTCGTCTAAACAACAGCCCAACAATGTTAGATCTGTAAATTTGCGCAAGCTAATTTTTTGTTCTTCCCTGACCGGCATTCGAGCTCATGCTGCTGAGATATCGTGGCACCAAATCGCCTTGCACTATGCTCGACGCGCTAGACCACTCGACCACCTAGGCTCTATAATAATAAAGCTTTTGGTGGCCGGGTGTTACCTTTCCTCGTCAGTTTTTATCTAGGTCGTAACACAGTACATGATATATTATGCTTGCAGATGGAATTGTTACAGATCAGCTGAATTATCTATTGTAAAGGATCCTACAAATTAATGTAAGATGCAGTCACAGAAATAATTATATCATAAGTACGTCTGAACCGGTGACGACTCTACAACAGATTTTATCCATCGGATCACCAGCAGTGATGGTGATACAAGGCTGAAAATACATTCTGTATATATAATTCGTCTAAACAACAGCCCAACAATGTTAGATAGATCTAACGTTGTGCACGATGTTCCTACAACACGACGTTACACCAAAAATGGGACGTCAAAGAATGTTTTCTGAAATTTTGACGTCGATTAATTTAGTTAGTTTCATTCGGTTTTTTTTATGGGTTGATTCTGTCTCTGTTATTTTTGTGATGTATTTTAACCATGAATTACCTCAAGTTGTAGAAATCGATTAACAATGTTTTACCCTTAATTCCCCTTAAAATGCTGTATAATCGTAAATAATGTAGAAAGGCAAAATGGGACGGAATTATTAAATATACAGTTTTCCATAGATAAATTAAAACATAATTTTAGAAGCACAAAACCTTAATCACAGACTGCTAAAATTTTATATGTCATTGTAAATTTTCCATATCTTGATTCAACCCCAATACAAATATATCCGACACTATGCAAGTAAATCATTTTTTTTAACCCTTGATTAATTTGAAATGAATTGTACTTTCCTTGACACACAATTTGTCGAAATACAGCCCTTCAATTATTTGAACCCCAGCTTCAAAATTATTTCCCCAGTCATCTATAGTTTCTTGCTTCAGTTTTCTAACGTCTGATGTACTTTTTAAATTTTAGAAATCTTCTCCTGGATCGTCCGTAAAAACGGATAATACAATCCCGGGTTGTATTATTTCAATGACACTGTTTTCGTCGATGTTTGCAATTAGTCTTTCAGTTACCTCCGTTTCATGCACAAGTTTATTTTGACGAAAAGGTCCGGCTTCGCTAGTACATGAATTATTTTCAGTACGACAGTTAAAACATGAGTAGCAGGACAAGTCGCGAACTAAAACTTTTCGAGTACTTTTACTTTTGATTTGGTGAATGTACCTTACTGAAGGGGCGACTTAAATTGATCTATATCTATTTCAGGGTACTTCCGCAACATAACGAAAAATTCACCTTTAACATATAGAGGACGATGTGATGGTGTCTCCGAATTGTCTTTGCAAAAGTTGTACATATCATTCGCATTCTGAATCAAACATTTGCCTCTAGCAACAATAAATCACTAAAAGCTAAAAATGGTTATAAATTATCAAAATTTAATCTGAGTCGAATCTATTATCCGAGTTTGTCAATATGCACTATCAATTTTTCGACAGCATTCAATATCTGTTTCCAAATTTCACCACACGATATGTTTTTATTATCAGGAACATTTAATTGAAACAAGTTTAGCACATGCAACGTCGGAAATAAGCGTTTTTCGGATTTTTCGACGTTTTCACCCGTTTGGACAAAATGACTACCGTTTTGTAATGTTTCGTAGCATTTTATTCTTTTCAGACCCAAGCATGTAGTTAATAAAAAACAAATCTAGGCATTGTGTACTCTTCGTGTATCTAACTTTTGTTTTTATAAATTATAAATAACTTATTGAAATATCAGGTAAAAAACCCGCATTAATTGCTTTGACAAATGAAATATCAACTTGGACAAAATGACTACCGCTTGAAAAACGACTGTAAAGAGAAGATTTTATAGAATCTACAATATTTGAACTCACGAACAATGAGGCAAATAATTGTACTATTGGTAGATGTTATTATCATCTTACCATTTTTAGACATTTTCTGCCATATCTACTTATAAAATACACTTTCGGTCGTTCAGTCAACGAAAAACGTCGTTGGACATTTTTCTTATTCCAGCTTAATATGCAGCCGCCGAGTCAAATACAATTTGACAAAATAATGACTTAATTGTCACAAAGAACCGACACATGTCGTTGTTCTGAATTTGTTTTTATAGTGGTTAGTGTTTGCTAACATTTTTTTTTGTTTTGTGGAGGAAATGTCGAAGATTCTTTTTTAAATCCTATGGGTTGTAGGAACAGCGAGCAAATTTTTTGTTCTTCCCTGACCGGGATTCGAACTCATGCTACTGAGATATATAATTGTTCTTATTTTAAATTGTGCAGTTTGAACTACGTTTGATTAAATTACAACAACAATTCGGAATCAAATGCATCCATAAAAAGCGATAACACACACACAACACAATAAAGGACAAACGAAACATTTGAAAACAAAATGTGAAAATGAAATACGTAACATTGAATCCTATCATTAATAATTATTCAAAAAGTTAAAAGTTCTCCTTATGTATGAATACAGGAATACTTTACATGAAGTAAGTTTGCATTTATCTTTATTTCTAAAAGTTGTCGGTGAGCTAAATGGACAAAGGGGAAAAGCCGATTTTTTTCCCAATTTTTTTTTTCATACCATGGCAATTAATAAAAAGTATTTCAATGTTTACTAGAATTTACAGTTTCATTCTTTCAAATGTAATTGCCGAAACCTATAAAATTAAAAAATGATAATTAAAACTTTATCTTATCCTTATCAGATTTATACATTTCCCAACCGGTTGATTATTTCTTTTTATCTCATTTCTTCATTAGGTCAAAATTTAATTATTACGTCAAATTGTCCTGCTTCCTCTAAATTTTCCTATTGTGACGTAACGAAAAAAAGGCGGCTATTTCTGATGGCATTATATAGAAAGAAGACATCTTTTTACAGATATTACATATCATTAGAGAAACAGTATTCACCACCGTATTTCGTGCAATATGATATTTCTTCACTCTCGACAGTTATATTTTAAATTTTTAATAAGTTCGGCAAGCCTCTCGTTTTAGATATATGAAAAGTTAACTAGCTCGAGTGGAGAAATATCGTATCACATTCGATACAGTTGTAGAATCTAGATATATCATATACAATCTGTATTATTTAACAAGACACAATTTCATCATACAAGGTTGTAGTATTTTCACCAAAATTACGGAAATTTGTCTTTATAGAAATTTAAATTAAGGAAAATATTTTTTATTTCGATGTCATATTATAATTAAAGGCGAAATAAAATATGTTTTTTCATGGAATAGTTCAAGTTTTCCAAACTATACAGATAAAAATGAAATATCAAGATTGTAAATTTATTATATCTAAAGCAATTCTTATATTCTTCATATAAACATAAAAATATTTGACTTTTTAATTATCATTACAAATCTACTATCATGTCGAAAATTCCACTTGCATTAAACTGATTTCTTAAAGACATCAAAATAAAAGAAATTGAACATATAAGTACATAAATAAAGAAAATAGTTGAAGTTTAACAGTTACTATAGACATAAGATTTACTTGAAAATAAATTCTGTAATATAACTTCTCTTCAAAGAAGAAATACACCTTACACATACAATCACAAACAGAAAAATAAATCTCTTTGTCACGTTCTTTTAAGTCAATATAATTTTGAAAAAAAATCACACGTTTTGTGTTAGTACTTCGTAGCAGTCATTTAAAATGCAAACAATCTTATTGTTGTGATTACTAGTCCTTTTAACCGTTTAAATTTTCGAATTATTTGCATAATTTATAAACATGTATTCTATTCTTTACACATACATAGTAATATATCCTTGGATTAAATTAGTACACAGTTATATTCTAACATTTTTCAATTACGTACTTAATCCATATATTTCTGGATTAGTACAATGTAGTTTAAAATGTTTACTTATTTACAATCCCTTCACGACATACAGTAAAAGTAAAATGGAGATTTTTAAACACGGAAAGTAAGTACATATGTATTACTAGTATTTTTAAGGGCGGATGTACATATAAAAACTTCAATGAAAAGGGTTGCGAGAACCATAATAACACCTTCGTTACTGTCAATTATACCCACAAGCCACCGTGAAAAGAATATATTCATTTAGTTTTAAAAAGTGTCTATATAACTATGGTATTCCTATGCTTTTATGAAGGGAATGCAAAAAAAAAAAGATAAATAAAAGAAGAAGAAAAAACGACTAGATGGCAAGAAACAATATAGATTAAATACTGTAAATTCAGAAATTATTTCGAGGATTTTATTAATGCGAATAATGCGACTGGGAGAGTATCGCAATAATAAGAACTCGCATTCTGATATCGGATACATATAGTTGTATGCAGATTTTCCTGAAATCGCAATAAATAATCTCGCATTTTTGTCTATTCTCCAAAAATCGCAATAATAAATGCACGCAATAATTTCTGAATTTACAATAATTTATTGAAAAAAAAAGTGAGTAAAATATGAAAATGGAATGCAGTAGTTCATCAATAAATCTATTGCGTTAGTTTTTGAAACCATTCGCATGTAAGATAATGGGGAATATTCCATTCTGATATTTTAGTAGGTTTATCTATAAGAATTTGATTTTGAATATGCAACATATACACCCAAAGAAAAGTTATATTCACCGGGCTTAACGTCACGTGCTTTAACATGTATAATAATGGTAAAGTGTTTGGTGTACAATTGGTTATTAAATACATTTTACTCTCACTCGGAATATGAAATTAAACAATCACTGTCTTTGATTCGGTTAATATGTGGTTTAATTGAATTTTGAAAAACTATTCAATGATAGAATGTTGGCCGTTGGCCGTTGGCACAAGTGAATACCATAAATTTCTTCTTCTTTAAAGGTCAATTAAACAACATATTTACCGAATCAAAAGACAAATTAAATGATTGTATAATATTTCCTAAACTTTAACAGCAATTATGTATAAGAAAGTGGAAAAAGTATTATTTGAGACCATGCTGATAAAGAAAGAATGAAGAGTGGTGAACATCATGGTCTACAAAGGAATCTCTAATTTAAAAAAAATGTACTTCCTCTAATCTACTTTTCTATTATATAAAAATAGGGAGATGTGGTATGATTGCCAATGAGACATCTATCCACCAAAGTTTAAATAAAGTGGAAGTAAGCAATTATAGGCAATGGTATGGCCTACAACAATGAGAAAAACCCATACCGTATGATGAGCTATAAAAGGCCCCGACATGAAAAATACCATGTTTGCCAAACACATCGATACCGTACTGGAAGAGAGAGAGGTGAAGTACACAAAATAGAAAAGAAAACCAAAGACTGAACAACACAAACCCCACCAAAAACTGGGGGGAGGGGAGGGGGCTGTGAATGATTCTTTGTTTCTATATCGTACATTATTACATGTTTTTTATTTTAAAAGAATATAATAGTTGCTAAAGTTTAAAGGGCCTGGAATTCGAAAAAAAAAACATAAGACACGTCTTACGATATGTATTTTGATGTCCTAACTTTACGATAAATTTTAGAATTTGAGACGTTTAAACAATATTACTAAGTAATAAGATTTGATCCGAATACATCCTTAAGCCAAATAAGCCTTCGAAAACCTGAGCCCTGGGTTTTAAAATAATATGTTTTAATTGAATTTGCTTATCACATGGTCCCACAGACAAAACAATGACGGCGAAACGGGGCAGAACAATGGAAGGGATCACTCCTTTCCCATCGTTCTCGAAAATGGATGTGAGGGTAAACTTATTGTTGCCTTCCTTACATAATTCAAAGTCATTAATACAACTTAACATACCTTACATTTACTGATAGCTATTTGCATTCCTATATTTACATTTGAGACCCTATCCCACAGTCTAGTATATTATGGACCGATTATTAAATAAAATGGCAACGTTGGTATGAGAAATTTATTACTGTTGTCTCAACGGCGGCGGAAAATATTTATGCATTGGGATGTGGGATAGCCTAGGGTCTCAAACGTAAATACATGTATAGGAGTGCAAATAGCTATCAGTAAATGTAAGGTATGTGAAGTTGTATTAATGACTTTCAAGAACTAGACTCAAGCTAGCAGCCACTCGCTAGAAGCCACTCCGCTAGCAGCCAGTTTTCAGATATGTCTATAAACCCAAAAGTTGCATAAGACTGAAATGTTTTACTTTTTATACTATATATAACGCATTTTTAATTTAACAATCAAAGACACTATACATGAGTTTTAGGGGTGGATCCAGCATTTTTGAAGAGAAAAAAAGGGGGAGGCTATAATTGCCAAAAAAACGATATATATACCGCCAATCGGAGAGATGCAAAAAATTGTTGAACGAATTTATGCCGATAAAAAAGAAGATATTTTCCTTTTAAAGGAGATGGTGGCGTACACCCACCACGCCTAATCTGAATTCGCCTTATCCACAGACAGTCATAATTAACGTTCATGAAACTACTACATCTCAGCTTACGGCCTCCTCTGAACATTTGAAGGTCCTTACTATGTATCTTCTAACTGAACTACACAAAAATCCCGTCAAATACCCTGTTATCTCGGTTTCTAGTGTTTTACTGGTAATATGTCTGTACTTTTAACTAGCACTCCTGCTACTGTGCATGCAAGAACTTGTATGATCAACTTTTGTTATGAACTATAATAACATAATGGAACAATTTTTTTTTAGAATAAAAAATTCTTTTAAAGCTTTAGGTAAATTTTGTGCTTTTGATTGTCCGTTTAATGTCTTTAATTCGAATGACATTTATGACTTTTTGACTCTCTACACTACACTTCAACATTATCTTATCAAACAGAAGTTTTTTTATTTAATTAAATGGTTCTTTAAAAATCTAATCTATCTGCCACAACTCATATAAAACCTTCTTGAAATGAAAAAGGCAAATATGCACTAATTGGACCTGTGACGAAATAATTAAAGATGCTATAACATACTTTCCGGCAAAAACGTTTATCGACAGGTAGTAGGTATTTCATAAGCACCAATTGTGCCCTTCAATAGCAGATGTGTTCCCGTATCATTATGAATCACAGCTTGTGGCAAAACTCAGTTAAGATCCATCTTCATTCCATTTAACTGATAGATTTAATAACACTTATTTATGATGAGATTGGTTGGGAAACTCTAGCTGAACGAAGAGAAAGGAGGAAGTTACAATTATTTTATAATATTCAACATAATAATGCACCAGCCTATCTTTGCAATTTAATTACACCAAAAATCCAAAGTGTAGCTGTTTACCCCTTACGTAATGGGAATGATATAATATACCCTTTTTGTAGACTTTCATTGACCCAAGAATCCTTCATACCTTCAACTATACGACTGTGGAATAACCTTAATGTGGTGACCCGCAACATTGACTCTTTAGGTAAATTTAAACCCGAATTAAAAAATCTTAAACTGAATTCAAAAGCCCAAGTACCTAAACATTATAAATTTGGCAATCGTAAACTCAACATCATTTTGACTCAACTTAGATGCTCAGCCCTTTTTTTGAATTATGATCTTAACAGAGTCAATATAATTTCAGATCCGTCTTGTAGCTGTGGTGTTAAGCGTGAAGATTCATTTCACTTCTTTTTTGAATGTCCTATTTATACGAATATAAGAATCAAACTGTCTAATAACTGGTTACCAGAGAACTCTCTACTAAATTTGAACATCTTAACCTCCGGTGATTCGTCATGAACTAATGATGAAAATGAAAGAATTTTTAAGAATGTATATAAATTTATTAAAGAGTCAAAGAGTTTTCTAATTGTGTAATACAGCACACTAAAGTGCATATACATGTATATTGTGTACAACCATTCACATCATCACACATCATCTTTTTAAATATCCAATATATATAATGTATTGTTTGCATGCATGCTTTGTAAAAAATTCTATTGTTATAAATTGTTCATGGGAGAAGACTTCATAAGTTTGATCATGGAAGTAATATTTAAATATTACTTCCATGGTTTGATTAACTTGTGTCTCATCCCTTTTGCATATTTAACCAAATAAAATATGTTTAAACTAAACCTTTATAATATGTTTGCTTTAAAAAATAAAAAATTCGTTCTCGAAGTTTCCTTCGGAAATTTCCCATGGAGAGCATATCTTTAAATAAATTTCATATTAACAGCTATAATTGACCTTTTTTTTTTAGATATGTATATGTCAGTTTCACACGGGAAAGTTTATACAAAAATTTACGACAAAAGTGACGATTTTTCGTTCCCTATTAGTAATTTTCCTTTTTTAGACGGTGATGTTCCTTTGGTTTCTTTCTTACGGTGTGTGTATTTCCCAACTCGTTCGCTAAGCTCGTGTCTGTAGTGAAGTTTAAGATCTCAATTAACGTAATTTATGTAAAACTGGTAAATTAAAAAGTAAGTGATTTCGTTACCACAAATTACTAAAATGGTTACTAAATTCTTTCATAAGAACAAAAAATTGGTTTGGAAATTTGGCTGAACCTGTAGAATTCCTATTTAAACGGGATACCATAAACCAATTTTTACAGTGATGTTGGTTATAGAACCCGTGAATTGAGATACGATCCATTTAAACTCATTATCCTTTGTAAAAGCTTATTCTTAAAGTTATAGATTTAACATCGTAGTAATATTTTTAAATATTATTGTATCGGTAGTAGCATTGATTTTGTTTTAGATAAGTTAAAACATAACTGAATATGTATTGCTACACAGTTGCTTTAAACTTCCTGTCTATATTAACTCATATTTTGGTATTTCATAATGTCAACCTTTCTCCACAGTGTGTATGACGTCTTAAACTAAATCCGTTGGATGTGTACTGATTGATACTTAGTTTGGGAGAAAATGATGAGTTGTAATTTAGTTTGAACTAGCTTTCAGTAGCTGTGAGTATATATACTCTTAGTTCGGTACTTTGCATCTTTTATCTTTTATGTTATATGCTGTTTGTGCTTCGTGTCAGTCCGATGAGTCAAGTCGTTTCAACTGATTTTAACTTGCAATTTGTTTTAATGTTGTGCTGTTACACCACTGACTCAGGTTAGTGGATGGTTGAGCGCTTGCAAACACATTATTTATGTGTCTGTAGTTCAGTGGTTGCCGTTAAATGCTGTTCGTTATACTTGTTTGGTCATTAAGCAGGTTGTTTTTTGTTTCATATTTCTTCATGTCGAGATCTTCAATAGCGAATATACGGTATGGATGTTGCTCATTGTTGAAGGTTGTACGGTGACCTATATAAAGATGCTTACAAGCACGTCATTTAGACTCGGAGGCTATACCACATCTCCTTATTTTCATATCAAAAGTATCATATTGATTTTTTATATCATTCACAGATACGTATGTACGCTTTTTCAAACCGTTAATAAGTTTATATAACAACATCGCTTTTTTCATATCAGACCCTTTAAATGCCCTAGGTCATGATATCAGCCCTAGAGCCGAAAAACTCGAGGGATGATATCATGAACGAGGGCCGATGAAGGGTATGATATGAAAATTTAACATGTAATGATCCTTTTAGTTCTTCAGCTGTTTCAGTTCTTATACATCCTACATTTTCAAATATTCTGCTTTGATCGTTCCTGGTGAAGATAAATCCAGAAAAGTACTTCAGACGCATGGAATCTATAATGTGTTGTTTTCATTTTTTATCATATACTTCTGCAGAAGAAATACACACAAAAAACTATTCTAAAACTTTGCATGTATTGTATTATTTGTTTTGCATCTTAAATAATACATAATTTCCTGTTTCCTATTATTTGTTGTTTTATCCTATTTGTTATGTTTTCGATGAAAACATATCATTTTGTTGTATTTTCCGGAATTTGTAAATATAACATAAAAAACATTTGAAGATGGTGTTATTTCTTTTACTATGAACCTGCATAGCTTATATTCATTTTTTTAATATCTTTGTTTTCATTTGCAGGTTAACAGAAGATAAACGAAAGTAAAAATGTTTATGCTGAGGACACATGATCTGTCGTGGCAAGATCATGTAGTCAACATTGAATTTATGGTGAATCCTTCACATAATCAACTTTTGTTTAATAAACATAAAACTTTAGCTTCAAAATGTGATAAAGTTAAGAGACTATATGACAAGGAATTAAAAACTTCACAGAAAAACTTTGTCGTTGACATGCGAATGATGGAGAGAAAAAAGAGTGCATTGGAGAGACGCCAGTCGGAAATAAAAACAAGTAAACACAGCCAAGAATTCACTAAAAAGTCATCTAAACCGAGATCAGGGAATAATAATGTTCCTAATACAAACATCATTCGAGGACAGTCGGCACCACCAAATATAGACTCAGCATTTATGACAGAAGTAGACCAGTTCTCTAGAGATGGGGAGGATAGTTATTCCAATGTTTCTCCAGTTTCTCGTGCAAAGACAATAAATGCTTGGTATGCTTCAACACCGGATACGTCACGACCATCCACACAAAAACAGTCATCTTCTGCATTCAAATCTACAACTCGTCAAAAATCCGTTCGCTTTGACGAACGGATTACAGAAGACAGTTGTGAACCATCAATAAGAAGAAATGTGAACAACAGAGTGAAGATATTCCTTGAGGAACAGAAAAATTTTAATAAACGTCCGCTAATCTATAATGGCAGATTCAAGTCGACTTCTTCTCCAGCAGTGGCAAAACGATACACGAATACAAAGCTTGACACAGACACATTGATGCACGCTTTTAATAATCTCTGTTTAGACAACAGCGTAGAAAATTTCAAAAAACTATCATCCATGGCAAGCCGAGTCAAATCAAACTATAAATTAGCTCGAAACACTTCACTAGTTCCAGCTGTTGCAACACTTAAAACATCGCGACGTTTCAAAGAAATCATTCACAAAGAATAAAGTGCTATCAGAAAAACGATTTCTTCATTCAAATTGATATCGAGATTTACAATATTTGTCACGCAACATTACAGTTTTGTAAATAAATGTAACTGAAGAGAAACATTCATCATTTCAGTCTTTTTTCAAGCAAAATGTTTGTATTTTCTTGTCATGACTTTGAGCTTTCTTTCCAAAAGTAGTTTTTATGTAAACACGTCATAATGTTCGACCTTCTTACCAAAGAACCGGGCGTATGACATTTGCGCCGATTTTATAAATTTCAATCTTTCATTTGCGCCGATTTGGTTGTTTCATTTGCGCTGATTCAATAATTTCAAGTTCCATTTGCTCATTTTTGCATTTTAGTGCTGTGCTTTTTTCATGGCGTAAAGATGTTTTATTGTCCTTTAACATAATAAAGGCTGTAAATAGATTTTTATATCATTTGATATTTTATTGCTATACTCAGTTATTTTAATGGATGTAAAATTGTCTTGTTTTGCTCGAAATCCTACTTCCACCTCCCCATTGTGGGTAGGGGGCAACAGTTATATGCATGTTTTAATTGATAATCTATAACATATGTATAACTGGCTAGCGTAAGAGGTTTATACTGATAAATACAAATAGTTTTCACCTGTAATTTACCTATAAAACAATTGGCGCAAATGAAAGAAATAATCGACGCAAGTGAAAGAAAAAATCGGCGCAAGTGAAATGCAGATCGGCGCAAATGCAAAACGCCGCAAAGAACCATTTCTGTTGTTCGATTATTGTTATAAACACATATATTTGAAATAATCGTTAAGGGTACCGCGGAACCCCGTGTCTCTCCTGCGATTACTGCTCTTGGTGTACGGTAAAAGTGTAATGTTGACTGTGAAAAGTGAGTTCATTTATCAGTAAAATACACAATTTAAAATAAAAATAATGTATCTTTGGATGTTATTTCTTGATCTTGTAGATTAGTTTATGTTCAAGTTTCATAACAATCCATGAAGATTTGCATTTTTAATGTCAAAAATTGTAATTCTAGACTGTCTGTAAATGTTAACTGCAAAACACTAAGTTCATCTATGAGTAAATTACTGAAAAATGAAAGAAATGTATTTTTTTTTAAATTTAGCTTCAGACATTATCTCTTAATCATAAAAAATTCTACCAAAGTTTTAATGTTTTTTTTAAGGTTTGACAAATAATTTGGTGTGTAAAAAACGTTCACCCCAGAGAGTATCTTCTTGTTAACTAAAAAAAATAAAATCCTTTTATCAATAAAATACTGAAAAATTAAAAAAAAAGATATTTTTATTATTTTGGTCTAGATACTGTCTTTTGATCACTAAAAAACTTCTGTCCAACTTAAGTGAAATACCGAGACGGTTTGACAAAATTATTGGTGACTGAAAAAAATTAACCCTAGACTGTATTTTAATGTTAACTGTAAAACAAGAGTGCACACGCTGAAATGTCTCGCCCTCTTTCCTAAACATTGATTTTATGTTGATAGTCCTAAATATAAAGCTTTACTACAAGTAACACATAAACTTAACATGATCCAAGAAAATGAGGTCAAGGTCGGATAAACCAAACGCGAAATAGATGTATACCTTACAATCATTCAATAAACCAAACATAGTTGACCTATTGCTTATAGTTTCTAAGAAACAGTCTTAACCAAGAAAACTTACCATTGACCAATGAACCATGAAAATGAGGTCAAGGTCAGATGAACCATGCCAGACAGACATGTACACCTTACAATCAATGTATGCATTAAATATAGTTGACCTATTGCTTATAGTATCTAAGAAACAAACTTAACCATGAAAACTTAATATTGACCAATGAACCATGAAAATGAGGTCAAGGTCAGATGATACCTGCCAGACAGACATATACACCTTACAATCCTTCCATACAACAAATATAGTTGATATATTGCTTATAGTTGAAGAAAAACAGACCAAAACACAAAAACTTAACACTGAGAAATGAACAGTGAAAATGAGGTCAAGGTCAAATAAAACCTGCGAGACTGAGATATTCATCATAAAATATTTCCATACACCAAATATAGTTGACCTATTGCATATAGTATAAGAAAAAAAGACCAAAACTAAAAAACTTAACTTTGACCACTGAACCATGAAAATGAGGTCAAGGTTAGATGACACCTACCAGTTGGACATGTACACCTTACAATCAATCCATATACTAAATATAGCAGACCTACTGCTTATAGTATCTGATATATGGACTTGACCACAAAAACTTAACCTTGTTCACTGATCCATGAATTGAAGGTTGAGGTCGAATGAAAATTGTCTGACGGGCATGAGGACCTTGCAAGGTACGCACATACTAAATATAGTATACGGGTTATGTTCTTCTCATATATGTTATGATGGTATGATACTAAACCCCTAACGGGAAGGATTGTGCCTGATATTCATATGATGAAGACATAATCTTTCAATCAGTTTAATTGAAGTCTGGAGCTGGCATGTCAGTTAACTGCTAGTAGTCTGTTGTTATTTATGTATTATTGTCATTTTGTTTATTTTCTTTGGTTACATCTTCTGACATCAGACTCGGACTTCTCTTGAACTGAATTTTAATGTGCGTATTGTTATGCGTTTACTTTTCTACATTGGCTAGAGGTATAGGGGGAGGGTTGAGATCTCATAAACATGTTTAACCCCGCCGCATTTTTGCGCCTGTCCCAAGTCAGGAGCCTCTAGCCTTTGTTAGTCTTGTATTATTTTTAATTTTAGTTTCTTGTGTACAATTTGGAGTTTAGTATGGCGTTCATTATCACTGAACTAGTATATATATTTGTTTAGGGGCCAGCTGAAGGACGCCTCCGGGTGCGGGAATTTCTCGCTGCATTGAAGACCTGTTGGTGGCCTTCTGCTGTTGTCTGTTCTGTGGTCGGGTTGTTGTCTCTTTGACACATTCCCCATTTCCATTCTCAATTTTATTTATTATTATCCTATTACTCATAATAAGAAAGAAATAAACATTACAAAAATCGTTTTTTCAAGTAGTCACTGAACCATGAAAATGAGGTCAAGGACAATGGACATATGACAGACGGAAACTTCATATCATAAGGCATCTATATACAAAGTATGAAGCATCCAAGTCTTCTAGCTTCTAAAATATAAAGCTTTTAAGAAGTAAGCTAACGCCGCCGCCGCCGGATCACTATCCCTATGTCGAGCTTTCTGCGACAAAAGTCGCAAGCTCGACAACAAACCATGAAAATGAGGTCAAGGTCAGATGAACCATGCCATACAAACATGTACACCTTACTATCAATCTATGCATTAATTGTTGACATATTGCTTATAGTATCTAAGAAACAAACATAACCATGAAAACTTAGCATTGACCAATGAACCATGAAAATGAGGTCAAGGTCAGATGTTTTCTGCCAGACAGACATATACATCTTACAATACTTCCATACAACAAATATAGTTGAGCTATTGCTTATAGTTTAAGAAAAACAGACCAAAACACAAAAACTTAACACTGAGCAATGAACCATGAAAATGAGGTCAAGGTCAAAGAAAATCTGCGAGACTGAGATGTTTATCATAAAATATTTCCATACACCAAATATAGTAGACCTATTGCATATAGTTTAAGAAAAACAGACCAAAACACAAAAACTTAACTTTAACAACTGAACCATGAAAATGAGTTCAAGGTCAGATGACACTTGCCAGTTGGACATGTACACCTTACAATCCTTCAATAACCAAATATAGTAGACCTATTGCTTATAGTATCTGCGATATGGACTTGACCACCAAAACTTAACCTTGTTTACTGATCCATGAAATGAGGTCGAGGTCAAGTGAAAACTGTCTGATGGGCATGAGGACTTTGCAAGGTACGCACATACCAAATAACTTACCATTGACCAATGAACCATGAAAATGAGGTCAAGGTCAGATGAACCATGCCAGACATACATGTACACCTTACAATCAATGTATGGATTAAATATAGTTGACCTATTGCTTATAGTATCTAAGAAACAAACTTGACCATGAAAACTTAATATTGACCAATGAACCATGAAAATGAGGCCAAGGTCAGATGATACCTGCCAGACAGACATATACACCTTGCAATCCTTCCATACAACAAATATAGTTGATATATTGCTTATAGTTGAAGAAAAACAGACCAAAACACAAAAACTTAACACTGAGAAATGAACAGTGAAAATGAGGTCAAGGTCAAATAAAACCTGCGAGACTGAGATATTCATCATAAAATATTTCCATACACCAAATATAGTTGACCTATTGCATATAGTATTAGAAAAAAAGACCAAAACTAAAAAACTTAACTTTGACCACTGAACCATGAAAATGAGGTCAAGGTTAGATGACACCTACCAGTTGGACATGTACACCTTACAATCAATCCATATACTAAATATAGCAGACCTACTGCTTATAGTATCTGATATATGGACTTTACCACAAAAACTTAACCTTGTTCACTGATCCATGAATTGAAGGTTGAGGTCGAATGAAAATTGTCTGACGGGCATGAGGACCTTGCAAGGTACGCACATACTAAATATAGTTATCCTATTACTCATAATAAAAAAGAAATAAACATTACAAAAATCTTTTTTTCAAGTAGTCACTGAACCATGAAAATGAGGTCAAGGACAATGGACATATGACAGACGGAAACTTTATATCATAAGGCATCTATATACAAAGTATGAAGCATCCAAGTATTCTAGCTTCTAAAATATAAAGCTTTTAAGAAGTAAGCTAACGCCGCCGCCGCCGCCGCCGGATCACTATCTCTATGTCGAGCTTTCTGCGACAAAAGTCGCAGGCTCGACAACAAACCATGAAAATGAGGTCAAGGTCAGATGAACCATGCCATACAAACATGTACACCTTACTATCAATCTATGCATTAAATATTGTTGACATATTGCTTATAGTATCTAAGAAACAAACATAACCATGAAAACTTAGCATTGACCAATGAACCATGAAAATGAGGTCAAGGTCAGATGTTTCTGCCAGACAGACATAAACATCTTACAATACTTCCATACAACAAATATAGTTGAGCTATTGCTTATAGTTAAAGAAAAACAGACCAAAACACAAAAACTTAACTTTAACCACTGAACCATGAAAATGAGTTCAAGGTCAGATGACACTTGCCAGTTGGACATGTACACCTTACAATCCTTCAATAACCAAATATAGTAGACCTATTGCTTATAGTATCTGCGATATGGACTTGACCACCAAAACTTAACCTTGTTTACTGATCCATGAAATGAGGTCGAGGTTAAGTGAAAACTGTCTGATGGGCATGAGGACTTTGCAAGGTACGCACATACCAAATATAGTTATCCTATTACTCATAATAAGAGAGAAATTAACATTACAAAAAATCTTAACTTTTTTTTCAAGTAGTCACTGAACCATGAAAATAAGGTCAAGAACAATGGACATGTGACAGACGGAAACTTCATAGCATAAGGCATCTATATACAAAGTATGAAGCATCCAGGTCCTCCATCTTCTAAAATATAAAGCTTTTAAGAAGTTAGCTAACGCCGCCGCCGTCGGATCACTATCTCTATGTCGAGCTTCTGCGACAAAAGTCGCAGGCTCGACAAAAACTAGGTCATTTATCAATAAAATACGGAAAAGTTAAAATATCTTTTTTTTTCAAAATATTGCTCTGGATACTGTCTTTGAGTCATAAAAAAGCTTCTGTCAAAATTTCATGAAATTCAATGAAGGTTTGACAAAGTTATAGATGACCGAAAAGCTTTAACCTAAGACTGTATTTATATGTTGACTGTAAAAAACTCAGTCCATTTAACAGTAAAATAAGGGGTGAAATTGCTCTGGATACTGTCTTTTGGTAATTAAAAAAG